ATTCAACCTGTATGCTGAGCAAATAATCCAAGAAACTGGTTTATATGAAGAAAAACGTGACATCAGGATTGGAGGAAGACTCATTAGCAACCTGCAATATGCAGATGATACAACCGTGCTTGCTGAAAGTGAAGAGGACTTAAAACATTTAATGATGAAGATCAAAGAGCACAGCCTTTGGTATGGATTACATTGCAATGTAAACAAAACAAAAATCCTCATCACTGGACCAATAAACAACATTCTTATCAATGGAGAAAAGACTGAAGTTGTCAAGGACTTCATTCCTCTTGGATCAACTATCAACACTCATAGAAGCAGCAGTCAAGAAGTCAAACTACATATTGCATTAGGCAAATCTGCTGCACAAGACCTTTTTTTCAAAGTGTTGAAGAGCAAAGATGTCAGTTGGAGGACTAAGGTACACCTGACCCAAGCCATGGTATTTTTGAATAACCTCATATGCATGCAAAAGCTGGACAGTGAATAAGGAAGACCATAGAAGAATTGATGCCTTTGAGTTATGGTATTGGAGGAGAATATTGAAAGTCCCATGGGCTGCCAAAAGAACCAATAGATCCGTTTTGGAAGAAGTGCAGCCAGAGTGCTCCTTGGAGGCCAAGATGGCCAAACTTCATCTCTCATACTTCAGACATAGTGTCAGGAGGGACCAGTCACTGGAGAAGGATATCATGTTTGGTAAGATGGAAGGGCAAAGGAAAAGAGGAAACCCCCCAACGAGATGGATTGGCCAAGAGGCAGTGTCAATAAACTCAAGCGTGGCAACAGTAGTGAGGCTGGCCCAGGATTGGGCAGTGTTTCGTTCTGCTGTGCATAAGGTTAGGTCGGTACCGACTCGATGGCACCTAACAACAACGTAGGGTTTCTGAGGCTGTTAATCTATGGGAGCAGAAAGTCTCATTTTTCTCCCATGGAGCAGTTAGCAGCCCAATTTATAACCCTCTATGATACCAGGGTTTCTTCCATAAGCTAAAGGCGATATAAAATTTAATATCTGGGACAACTCTAAAAAAGTTGCCATTGAGTCGATTCCAATTTCTGACCATTCCGTGAGTGTCAGTATGGATTTTAAAGGCTGACTTTTCAGAAGTAGGTCTCCAGGCCTTTCTTCTGGGTGGACTCAAACCACCAACCGACTGATCAGCAGATAAACATTTTAACCATTTGCACAACCCAGGGATTCCTGTGACAAACTTGTTGTTTGTTGTGAAGTGCCGTCGAGTCAGTGCCGACCCATAGCGACTCTGTATAGGGTTTCCGAGGAGCAGCTGGTGAGCTTGTACCGCCGACCTTGCAGTTCAAACAGCTTTGCAGTCTGGCGCATGAACCCACAGCACCACAACAGTGACAAACTTAAGTAGTTATTATTATACAAAAGAATCAAGAAACTTGCCTGAGGAGCTGCAGTTAATATGAGCCAAAACCAGTATTTGAACACAAATCTGTGTAACTTCAGAGCCTATGCTCTTCTATCCCCACCATTCTTTGTCCTGAGCTCCAATCCCTCCTGGGTTCTGCTTCTCACACACTGGAGGGTAACCTCAGTAGATCTAGTGGGGATCCCGGCAGGTTTTGTAGTAGACACAAGTGTGGATTGCTTCCATGGGATGCCTGGTGTGGCCTCCATCCCCACCCCCACTCCCTCCGATCTGGACAGGGGCAGATGGAAAGTCCTTCCCATTGCAGCTTGTATAATCACTCCCAGATTTGTCACCACCTTCATGAAGTCACCTGGGTGTTGCAGGCCCAGAAGGGAAAAGCAGAGAGACCTGAAAAAACGACCAGTGTGAGAAACATTGCCCATACTAACAAATGCTCAAGTCATCCAATCGATATTCATTTGAGTGACAGTGAGGTTTTCTTTATTCGATTTTGCAAAATCAGGAGCCCAACGCAGTAGATCACAAACAATTTTTATTCCCAACTCCAAATGACCCCTCCTCCAGTTCCAGCTCCCCATATGCAATTCTATGGCATGTCCCATTTGCCCTCCCCAAGCCAAAATGGCTCCCCCATGGTCTTCACGACTGTATTTGTATTGAACCAACTGGAAGGCACTTAACAACAACAACAACGGGTCCTAGAACATGGGAACACTGAATGGTTTAAAATTAGGAAAGATGTATGACAGAGTTGTATTCTTTCACCATACTTGTTCAACCTGTATGCTGAGCAAAAAATCTGAGAAGTTGGTTTATATGAAGAAAAACGTGACATCAGGATTGGAGGAAAACTCATTAATAACCTGCAATATGCAGACAACCTTGATTGCTGAAAGTGAAGAGGACTTAAAATACTTAAGTATGATTGCATCTCAATGTAAAGAAAACAAAAATCCTTACCACTGGACCAATAAACAACATCCTTATCAACGGAGAAAAAATTGAAGTCAAAGATTTCACTTTTCATGGATTAATCATCAACACTCATGGAAGCAGCAGTCAAGAAACCCAACGACGTATTGCATTACACATATCTGCTGCAGAAGACCTTTTCAAAGTGTTGAAGAGTAAAGATGTCAGCTTGAGGACTAAGGTGCACCTGACACAAGCCATGGTATTTTCAATAACCTTATGTGCATGTGAAAATTGGACAGTGAATAAGGAAGACTGTAGAAGAATTGATGCATTTGAGTTATGGTGTTGGAGGAGAATATTGAAAGTCCCATGGACTACTGAAAGAACCAACAGATCTGTGTTGGAAGAAGTGCAGCCAGAGTGCTCCTTGGAAGCCAGGATGGCCAAACTTGGTCTTTCATACTTCAGACATATTGTCAGGAGGGACCAGCCATTGGACAGGGATATCGTGTTTGGTAAGGTGGAGGGTCAGATAAAAAGAGTTAGACCCCCAGCGAGATGGATTGGCAAAGTGGCAGCATCAGTGGGCTCAAGCGTGGCAATAATATGAGGTTGGCCCAAGATTGGGCAGTGTTTCATTCTGTTGTGCATAGGGTCTCTATGAGTCGGTACTGACTCAGTGGCCCCTTACAACAAGTCCTAGAACAGATTTCTTTCCTCCCTTCCCCCAATTCATCCTGCTGGTTACGAATCAGGTTGTGAACCTCAAGGTCAGCAGTTCGAAACCACAAGTTGTTCCGCAGGAGAAAGATGAGGCTTTTTGCTCCTGTAAAGATTTACAACCTCGGAAACCCTGTACAGGGTCGCTATGAGTTGGAACTGACTCCATGGCACATAACCACCACCACATATCCCTGGATGTAAATCAAAAATCTGTCTGCCTGGTCTAGCAATCTCATGAATTCCTGAAGATGGACCACGCCAAGTTATTTCTCACACAGGACTCATTCCAAGATACAGTAGTTTATGACAGAAAAGAATATCAAAGAGATGGTTTATTGACAAAGACTTGACCTACAAAGGACGAAACACAGCTGTGTCCAGTGACGGCTGGCTTGAAACTAACGTTTTTCTGTAGGAGAGGCAGGCAGTAGAGTCTTTCTCCATCACAGTGTATACAAGCTTCACAAGCCTAAGGGTAGTCAACAGTGGTATGTTGTTAAGTGCTGTTGAATCTGTTCAGACGCATAGCCACCCTGTATAGGGTTTCCAAGAGCGGCTGGTGTATCTGAACTGCCGACCTTGTGGCTCAAACTGACCTTGTGGTCCAAAGGTAGGAAAATCCCAAGGTGCTGAGCTGTCTGTCCCCTCCTAGAGAATAAAGAGTTTCATAGTGTGAGGTGGAGGCTCCTCCCTAACATATGTATAACTAAAACAGAAAAGTTTTGGAATACCTAGCTGAAGGGGGAACTGTCTGCCCTTCCTAAATAGCGGGAGCAGAGGAAGGGTAGGAGATTTGATTTGAGGTGAACTTGGCGTGGCCATTTGCGAGTGTTACGTTTGTGTTCTTACCAGTGTGGTGCTGTAAGATAAGCACTGGACCGCAAGGTTGGTATGAATTGCCAGGTTGGCAGTTCAAATCCACCAGCTGCTCCTTGGAAACCCTATACAGGATCCCTATGAGTCAGAACCGACTCAATAAGAAGAACAATAGGAGAAGACAAGACATCTCATCTCTTCTGTTGAAAAGTAGCTCTGGCAGAGGGTAGAGAGACCTCTCTGTTTCTATTTACTAAGTAAAGAAAGTTCCCTTCCACGTAGCTAAATGTTTCTGATGACAATAAAGCCCTTTAGTTCTTTAGAAAGTCTTTAATTCTATGCTCACTTCTTTGATTTACAAAATCCTTTTCTGCCTTCTCTTTCTCTACAAGGTCATTGTATAAACGTTTCCATAAACCCTTGGGGGCACCCTTTAGATGAGATCCTCCTCTATGCCTCCTCTCCACCTTTGACTCTGTTACTCAGGAAACTGTCCCTGAGCTCTATAATCCAGAGAAAAGACTCCCATCCAGTTTGTGGCCCACTCAGACATGCAGAGGTTTTTTTTTTTTCCAGTTCATCTGTGGAGCCAGTCATGTTTTCTCTGCTCTATGTTTCTACTTTAAGTCAGGCCTCAGAACCAGACAGTCTTATGCAAGGCTCTGCATTTATTCATTCAAGTGTTTCTTAAGCATTTATGTGTTTGAAGCAGCATGTCCTTTGTTTCATTTCATTCTCACAGCACTTCTTTGAGATGGGTGTAATTAACAGGGTATAATCATCTTTGGTAGTGTAGTGGTTAAGAATCGGGCTGTGAACCTTAAGGTCAGCAGTTCAAAACTCCCAGCTGCTCCGCTGGAGAAAGATGAGGCTTTCTGCTCCCGTAAAGATTTACAGCCTCGGAAACCCTGTACAGGGTCGCTATGAGTCGGAACTGACATAACAACAGTCATCTTTATTTTACAGACAAAAGAACTGAGAGTGCTAGACTGACTTGCAGAGGTCTCTCTGATTTCATGTTCTCACAAAGTCTCTGACCCCCTGTGACGCTGAGTCACTGTCCTGTCCCACCTGTCCCTGCCAATCTCTAGGAAGGAGACGCAGAGAGGAGTGACCGAGGAGGCAGACGTTGTGGGCTGGCCCATGGCTGAGGGCTCGCTCGCAGAGCTGGGGGTAGATACCAAAGCTGTACCGTGCTCCAGTGTCCTGGAGCTGGAGGAACTCTTGAGGGAGGGAAAGGTCTCCTGCAGCCGAGTGGACGAAGTCTGGCCTAACCTTTTCATAGGAGATGTGTGAGTGATAACAGGTGGAGGGGGTGGGGGAAAGGAGAAACAGTTCTTGGCTCTTTGGCAGAGATGGGGGTGGGCCAGGCGGGGTAACTAGACGAAGTAGTTCTACTCTGATCCTCCTAAACCAGGGCCTTTCTCCAGGACCCTTGCGCTATGGAAGGTGCAGTGACAAGACTTAGCCACCAGAGGGAGTACAGGGGGGCGGACTGCTTGCGTAAAACAGGAACGCTTTCCAGGCGCCGCTGAAGTTTTCTACCATATCCAAGACAGTTAACAGGCCGAGTGGGTGGGTGGGAGGGAGACCTGAAGAATGGTGATTGGGGTATGAGATAAGAGACAGAGAGCCTCCCTTTCTGACCCCATCCTCCCTTATTTGGTCACAAAGTAGTGGGGAAACCTGACTGAAGGTGAATCAGGGAAGGTGTCACCTCTAGACAGTCACAGATCCAAAGCAGGTGGTGGTGGCCAGAAGAGGCCGGATATGCGTGGGAAGGATGGGCAGGAAGGGAGGGGCATCTGGCTCTCAGGGCTGAAGCAATCCTTTCCTTCCTACCGTGGTCAAAGCAGGGACAGATCACCTCAGAAATCAAGAATCTAAAGATAACTCACTCCCCAGAGAGGGTTGGGGTGGGGCTATGGACTGCAGACCCCAGCTGGAACTTGCTGAGCTCTGACTCCCTTTGGATCCTAATGACTCTGCTCCTCTGAAGCAGCGATCCAGGCAAAGGTGCCTTCCAGGACCCCATAGCTCAGTCAGCATCCAGCCCCTTCCTGTCTTCCCCAGGACCACAGCAAATAACCGCTTTGAGCTATGGAAGCTGGGCATCACCCACGTGCTGAACGCTGCCCACGGGGGACTCTACTGCCAAGGTGGCCCTGACTTTTACGGCAGCAGTGTGAGCTACCTGGGGGTACCAGCCCACGACCTCCCTGACTTCAACATCAGTGCCTACTTCTCCTCTGCAGCGGACTTCATCCACCGTGCCCTCAGCACACCTGGGGGTAGGAATTGGGGTCCTGCTAGACTCCATCCTGCTTAGTCAGGGGGAATGCCCAGTTTCCCCTCAATCACCAGTGTCCCCCATTCCTGGTTTTTAAAGAAAGCAGGTGGTTTTTTTGCGGGGGAGTGCTTTTCAGTGTTCCGTCCATTACTTTACAGATGGGGAAAATGGGGCCTAGAATACAAGGTCATGTGAATGCAGCCCATGAGTTCTGGTCTCCGCAACAGTAAACGAGTTCTCTCTGTGCTATCATTCACCTTTGGGAAATCCATTTGCTATCTGTTAAAGTTTTGCTTCTGTCCTAAAGTACTTTCCGATGGAAAAAAAAAAAAAAACTTCAAAGATCCCTATGGTACAACAAAAAATCCAGGGGAATGTGCTGTGGCCCTTGCTACATGACCCTGGACAACAACTGCCTCTCTCTGGACTTCAGTTTCCTCATACCATGTGATGAGAATGACAAACCTCACAGCGCTTTCAACATCTTAAACACTGTAACATTCATCCTCTAGTTCGTCAGCTAGTTACTGGCTGGGTGCCATGTGACGAGCCTAGATACTGGGAAGCCAGACTTAAGCAAGGCAGGGTTTCTGCCTCATGGAATTACACATCTAATGGAAAAGTTGCCAAATTGTGAAGTGTTGTGAGCACTTGCAGTGGGCAGAGGTGAAATGTGGGGGTCCTGAGCCTACTGCAAGGGTCCGAGAGATGGGAGACCTTCCTCTCCAACAGTCCTCACTGGGCCACATGCAAGCATGATAAACTGCTCTATGACTCAGGTGACACCATGGGGTGGTCAGGAAAGCCCATGTGAGGAAGTGGCATTTCCATTGAGACGTGACAAGTGACTAGAACTTAGTCAGACTGAGAGCAGGAGACAAATCTCTCAGGTAGTTGGAATAGCATGTGCTAGGACTGGACGCCAGAGACTGAGAGCTACAAAGGACTGAATGCTATGCAGTAATCCTAGAGCTGGGAGTTAGGGTGGGATAGAGATGAGATGCAGGGACAGCTCTTGAAGGACCTTGTAAGTCATGGGAGTTTGGACCCCATCCCATAAGAGATGTCTTGGTCTACCCATTTGACAGATCAGAAACTGAGGCCCATAAAGAGTGACCTGGAGAAGCTGTCTGGTAAGGAATGGTCTTTCACTGGGCTGTCTTTCTCAGCCAAGGTCCTGGTGCACTGTGTGGTGGGTGTGAGCCGCTCCGCCACCCTGGTCCTGGCTTACCTCATGCTTCACCATCAGCTGTCCCTGCGCCAAGCGGTGATCACTGTGCGGCAGCACCGAGGGGTCTTCCCCAACCGAGGCTTCCTCCGCCAGCTGTGCCAGCTGGACCAGCAGCTGTGGAGTTCAAGCCAGAGCTGAGGGGCCAGGTGAGGGCTGGGCAGAGGGATTGGGGCACGGGGGCAAGACTGGGTACAGTTAGAAGTAAGGAGTCAGGTGAGAGGCTGGGCAGGGGGCAAGGTTACAGTTAGAAGCAAGGGGTGTGAGCTAGGCAGGGGACGTGACATGGGACCAGTTCAGTGGTTGGTTGGCAGGGCTGTATGTAGCTGGAAATTAGGGCTGAAGGAGGCCAGGCCCCCTCCTCAAGACATTGCGCTCCCCTCACTCAAGGTCTCAGCACTACTCCGGTAGTATTGCTTAAGCCTACCTAGACTCTTCTGACCCCAGAGTGGAAAGGCTAAGGAGATGGAAAGTATAAAATGGAAGAGCTTGTGAGACCCTCCTGCCTTATCCTAGGGCTTGCCTGGCCTGCCTCTTTCGCTAGAATGCTGTGGGAGCTCACCTGAACCTAACCAAGGTCAGTCTTGGTACCTGCCTGGACCTTTACACACCTCTGCCAAGCCTGTAACCTTCACACCTACCACCACTGCCCCTCAGGTCTAGACCCAAATGCGGCCTCAGGAACAAAATTGTCTGCAGTTATAGATTTAGCTAATTTTCACTTCAGCCACGCCCCAACATTCCCACAATGGGGAAGGAGGGCAGGTTCCCAAATGTGCTCCTTCCACCAAAGCTCGGGACAAGAACTCTCCTGCATCTGACCCCACTCCCTTCTCTGCCATTTTCTCAGCACCTGGACCCTACCACCTCCCAACATCTCTTCTGCTCTCAGAGATCAACAGAAGGACTCTTCCCACCCTTCCTTCCTCTCTAGTTCTGGAAGTCATGAAAGTCTTCCTGGAGTCTGTCCAGACTTCTGCCTGCTCCATTTATCCGACTTCTTGTTCTGTGTGCAGGGCAGCTGGAGAAATAGCTCAGGGTCCTTCAGTTGCACAAAGGAAACAGATTCCCAACACCTCCTCTTCCCCAGCCTACTACTCCTGCTGGGAGCCTCAGTATCCCCTGCTGCCCCACAGAAGAAGGTGTGTGCTGCTACCTGTGTGAAATCAGTCTCTGACTCATGGCGTCTCCATATATGATGGAATCAAACCATTATGATCCACAGGTTTCCACTGGCTGATCTTTAGAAGCTGATCACCAGGCCTTTCTTTCTAGTCTTAGTCTGGAAGCTTCACTGAAAGGCTAAAGCCCACAAATGGTCACTAAGGTGTGGTTCGATTTCTCTCCTCTAGGGCAGCTGGGAGGAGAGAGAGGCGTCTTTTCCACGGGTAGGCTGGCTGTGGGGGCACCGGGCTTGTAAGGGAAGTTGCAAACCCACTGTCTTTCTTTCTCCCACCATCCCCAGGTTTAGTCTGCCCTTGTCTAGCCCCACCAGCATGGCCTTCCCTAAGACCACACCCCACCTGGAGGCCATTAGCTGGGGCAGAGGCCTCCAGACTGCTCTCTGCTCCCCCTATGCCACTTCCAGCTCTTGCTACCCATCCTGACCCTTGCTTGGGTCTCTGAACGTATCACTAGCCCAACCAAAGAGGGGGACACATTAGTGTTATCGAATCCTTCCCACCTGGTGTCTTAAGGATGAACATTTGGGGAAGGGGGTTAGGGGGTGGATGCAGAGCTAGTTTAGAGTTTGAGAGTAAGTGTTATGGGGAAAATTGATTATAGCTGGGGTGGGGATTAAGCCTGGATCTAAGCCGGGCAGGAAATGTTTATAGGAAGCTCTGTGAGTATGGGGGCCACAGGGGAACAGGGTTGGCGTTTTCCCAGTCTTTTTTCTTCCTTTCCTCTAAACAGATTTCAACAGTGATCCTAACCAACACCCAACTTCCTTAGGCTGGGATCCTTAGACACCCTGGCATCTGATCTCAGCATCTTTGCTTCTGAGGCAGCTGACTTTAGAGAAGTCAGTTGGGCTGAGCACAGCAATCCACAGTTTCTGGGGAGAACAGTCACCTACTAGAGGCCCTAGGACTTGAGTTGTGCACAGCCAGTGCAGCTGCACACAGGAGCCCTGAGGCCGGAGACTCAGAGATGATGGTGCTGTGGGGAGAGGTCCCCTCTCTCTAGAACGTGGGCCCCCAGCATGCCTTCTCATTGCTCCCTAGCCCCAGCACACACTTGATCTGACACATGGGTGTCAAGATAGAAGGTGGCTCTTGCCCTGAGGCGTCCCAGTCATTCTGGGCCTCGGTTTACCTGCCTGTAACCCTGAACTCATCTTTCCCTCCGAGCCAGGTCTTGCTTTCTGCTATGGGGCTCGTCCGCTTTGCTACCTTGGTACTGGTCCTGTTGGAGACTCTGGGACAGGGGGATGCTCAGAAGATGGTAAGACCCTGGTTTGGAGTCCACCCCAGAGTCTGCTACTCTGTCTTCTTTCTGCTGCCCACACCCCTCTCAGACAGTCTTCACTCCCTATAGGTGAGAGTGGGCCGTCTTCTCAGCCAAGTCCTGAGGCTCTGTGGCCAGGGAAGACCGCAGGTTTCTTAGGAAGCAGAAGAGAGAGGGAGGGGGTTGCAAGTGTTCAGCATAGCCCCTCACCACAAGCTGCCTCCCTCAGTCCTCTTCAGCACTCAGAGAGCCTCAGAAAGGGCTGGACCCTAGCTCTCTAGAGTTGGTTCGACCTGAGAGACTCCAGTGCAAGTGTGGTTGTGGGTATGTCGCTATGTGTGTCCATTATCTGGGGCTGAAAGTGAGGCGTGTCAATCAAGGTATGGGGTATGTGAGGAGGGTCTTCAGGTGGTCAGGCCCAAACCAAGATCCCTAGGTGACTTAACTAGCCTTGGGAGGGCCCTTGGAGACCCTCTCTCTGAGCATATGGGAGAATGGGATCTGAGCCAGAGCTACCCAGTCCCACCTTTAGGGGGTGGGGGGAGGAGAGTGCATGTGGTTGTTGGATACCCAATTTGTAATCTCCAGCCTTGGGGTCCGAAGTCTGTTCTGTACCCCCACTTTTACCTTTGTCCATTTGTCTGCCTTTGCTACTGCCTCAGCCTGTCTTCCAACTCTTAAACCTGGGCCAATCCCACAATCCTGAGTCCCCAACTAAACCAGTTTAGCCTCAGGCCTAATCCCAGTTCTAGCTCTAGCCCCTTTTTCTCCCACAACACTAATCCTCAAACGCTAAAGCTAACATCCTGCCCTAACTCCCCTTTCCCAAATGCTGGGATCTGATGTTGGCGACACTACCAGTTTACTCAGGGAGTTTGGATTGTTTCCTCACATCTCTGGACAGTGTCCTTTTGTATAGAAGCTTTCGCTTTCTGACCTTACTCTGCATCACCCATGAAGGCCAAGAAGCTTTCAAATGCTCAATTTGCATTTCCATCTCCCACCTCTCTATAAACATGCACACACACTACTGGCAGGCAGACCTCCACCACACTGCCTATATTCCCAACAGGGCTACAGGGGAAGGTGCCTGGCTGGGCTTGGTACTGACCACACCATGGGACCAGTGGGTGAGTTGGGAATGGTAGGAGGAGGTCAGAAGGGGAGAGCACATCATGCTTTATAATTAAACTCCAATCAAAAAATAGAAACAGCATCAAGTGTGCAAAGACAGGCGACTGGAAATCAGCAGCGCAGACTGCTCATCAGAGAAGGCCACAGCTCGGGTCAGACATCCCCACAGGTAGGAAGCGTCTCTATTTCAGGGGGCCACCAAGCATGCTGGGTAATGAGGGTCAGAATACCCGTGCCTGTGTGTTGGGGGGGGGGGGTAGGGTCTGGATGGAGAGGGCTGGGAGACGCACTGGATCGGAGATAAAAAGACCTGAGCTTGAATCCTAGCTCCCATGGGTTTTGGCTGTATGACCTTGGTCATACAGCTGTATGCATGTTGCTTAACCTCTGTGAGCCTGTTCCCACATCTGTAAAGTAGGGATGATAATCCCACCAATTGGAGCCCTGATGGCACAACGGTTTAGTGCATGACTGCTAACCAGTAAGTTGGCAGTTCGAGCCCACCCAACAGCTTCATGGGAGAGAAACCTGGTAGATGCTCTCTTCCATAAGATTGCAACCTCGGAAACCCTCTGGGACAGTTTTGTTGATGTTGTCATTTAATGTTTTATAGTGATTTGAATGAAAGTGTACAAATAGGCTTTGCAGTCAACAATTCGTGTACGTTTTGTTTCCTGACATTCACTGTAGTTCCCACAATGTAACAGTGTTCTTCCCACTGCCTGTTTCCTCTTTCCTTCCTGTTCGTCCCTGCGGTCTGAGCTTTATCTCTGGGCAAATGCTGTCCTTTTGATTTCATACAGTTGATGGTTCTAAGCAGTTTCTACTTCCCTGCTATAATTGTTCAACTTGTAGTCCTGTCTATTGTTTGGCTAAAAGTAGAGCCATGTGGGTGAGTTGAATTCCAAGCTTGAAGGGTGACTAAGGGCCACAGTCTCGGCCTCTGGGACAGTTCTAACCTATCACATTGGATCGATCGCATTGAGACAAAAATCAACTTGATGGTCCCCTGCACCACCACTTCCTATACCAGAAGAGTATTGATGATTTGCCGAGAGAATGTAAGCACCTAACTCTGTGCCTGGTTGTTGTTGCTGTTAAGTGCCGTCGAGTCGGTTCCAACCCATAGCGACCCTGAACAGGGTTTCCGAGGCTGTAAATCTTTACGTGCCTGGTACACAGCCTTAATTAGTGATGAGTGTAATCATAACTAAGACGCTCTGGTGGTGCTGTGGGTTAGGTGTTGGACTGCTAAACTACAAGGTTGGAAGTTCAAATCTGCCAGTCATATGGGAGAAAGATGAGGTTTTCTGCTCCCGTAAAGATTTACCGCATTGGAAACCCTATACAGGGTCGCTGTGAGTCTGAACCAACTCGTTGGTTCACAACCAACTCCCCACCATGAGTCAGAATTGGCAGTGGGCGTTTTGGATAATAATTATTATAGCTGAGCAAAGAATGAAATGTTGAGACAAAAAAAGATAGGAGACTGAGCCTACCTATACTCTGGTAGCGTAGTGGTTATGAATCAGGCTGCAAGCCGCAAGGTCAGCAGTTCGAAACTACCAGCTGTTCCGTGGGAGAAAGATGAGTCTTTCTGCTCCCGTATTTACCGCCTTGGAAACCCTGTACAGGGTCGCTATGGGTCGGAACCGACTCCACGGCACACAACAACAACAATACTTGGGGAAGTTACCCTTTGCCCCGGATGTGGCTGAGGCTGGAAGGAGCGACAGTCATAGCAATAAAGACAAAAACAGTCAAGTGTACCATTTATTGAGTGTCGCCCATGAGGTAGATCCTATGGAAGCTGCTTTCCATTTATTCTCCCACTGGCTTCGCACAGAAGCAGAGACTGGCCAGAGCCGACCACACAGGTAGCAAACAACAGACATGAGACACCTATGCCCTGCGCGCAGTGGGTGTGGGGGGTGTGGGGGGCCAGGGAGGAGCATGATCTTCCTGGGAGCTGACAGGAGACCAAGGTAAACAGAACGAGCAACCTAGATTGGAGAGACACAGACAAAGACAGACAATAAGCGTCTCCGCTTGGAGCAGGAAAGACAACAGGGACAGACGTGAGAAGGCGACTACTAGGAGCCAGGGGCAGGAAGAGGGCTAGATGAGTGGGGTCAAGGGCTTGCTGGATGCTTCTTCACCTCCTGCTTTTGCAGAGGAGATGTAGGAGGAACTGTCAGCAGGGTCCTTGGCAATCCTGATGTGGGGGCATTGGGAACCAGGGAAGCCTGCTATCGCCACTGACTCCCCTGTCCTGGCTGTGCCCGAGTCACTGGGCTTATGGGAGCTAGACCCGATTCTGTCCAAGGAGGCAGGCTGAGCACCCAGTGAAAGAGAGCAGACAAGTCGGGGGAGGGGTATGTGTATGAGTCCCAGAAGCCTAGCTCTAGGTGGGACCTGGCAAGTTGTTGTTGCTGTGTGACATTGAGTCAATTCAGACTCAAATGACTCAGTGTGACAGAGTCGAAATGCCCCACTGGGTGCCTACACTGCAATCTCTACAGGAGCGGATTCCCAGAGAAGCTCACGGACTCAGCACTTGAGTTCTTCGCCAACAGGGCTCCTTCAGAACCTGGCAAGGGTTTCACTAAATTCAAGGAAACAGTCTTCATTCTCCAGATTTGCGCCCTATAAGACTCAGGCTTGGGGTGTGGCCTAGTAATCCCCAATCCCTGACCTCTCAGCTGATTTCTCTTTGTCCCAGGACCTCCAAAGGAGACTCCAGAGTCCAACTTTATCTCAGTCTGAGGCGGGAACCCGGTGGCTTAGTCCCAGGCACGGCAGGGCTGAGGAAAGCACTGGCCACGAGGGGGCGGCCTTACCCCACACTAGGCTCAACAAGCCAAAGCCCCACTAGCCCGTGTTCCTCCAAAAGTCCCATCTGCCTGGCCTGGGGCTCTTGCAGCCCCAGCTGGTAGCTCCAGACCAGTGTACACGGTGGGCTCCCCTCAAGCCTGGGGGCTTCTTCCACCCAAACACACATACACCTGTTCTCTGCCCAGTAGCTACTGCTTACCAGCCACTCCTCTCTCCTTCTCAGATCAGATACCCAGATAATCTTCAGTCAGGGAAAGTCAGGATCTTTAGCCTGGCAAAGGAAAAGTTCATGTGGCCCAGAGACTGACACGACCTTGCTGGAGGATGTGTCGTAGTGGAGTCCCAACCAGAGCCAAGCTCTTCCAGTCTCCCTCTAAAGTTCTCGTTCCACCACTCCAAGTGGAGCCCATCTTCGGGATTTTACAGGGGTCAAGACCCTTCAATCCCAAAGAGATGCCAGGCAGAGAGTCTGGGAACTTGGTAAGGTTAACGGCTTCAGCCCACAGTGGCCTAGGTCTGCTTTCAGGCCCCACCCCCACAGGCTCCAAGGGGAGGACCTGGAATTCTAAGCGCTTCACAACATTTGTGTTCTGGGCGGAACCTTCCCAAGCCCTATTCTGCTCCTGTGCTGAGCCCTGCACTTGCCCACGCCCCCACTCCCAGTCCCAGACCATGCCCTAGGTAGGTGGCAGGCCACTCAGCCTGCCCTGAAAGGTCACAGTGGAGAATGAAGGGGAAAGCTGGGTCTTCACTTCCACCTTACCCACCAGTCGCCCGCTGGATGCACTTGGCCAAGCCAAGTTCCTGGATACCAGTTTCACTTCCTGTTCCTGGCACTCCCTACCAAAAAGAAAAGGCACTCGTCCCAATTTGTACCTTCCCTAGTTACTGGTGGAGAGGCCCTGGGACACTTGGCCAAAATGGCCACTGCTTCCCATCACAGCACCAGGGTCAGGTTCCGGTGCCACTAACCTCCCAGCTCTGCAGGGTCCCGGATTCCCTCAGCCAGCTGATTCCTGACACCCCCCACCCCCCGCAGGGGAGGCCTGACCTGCAGCATTGGGGGTAAGGAGGAAACCCCTGGTTGGTCTGTAAACAGGTGTCATTCAGCAATAACCCCTGCTGAGAGGAGAGGGTAATGGGAAGACTTGGGGATGTGATGAAGGACCACAAAACTCAATTTGCACCCCAACCTTGCCACTTATTAGCCATAGACTCATATGGCTTGGGGGGGCCACTAAAAAAAAAGAAAAATCCTCTGACTGTTACCTCCTGTGCAAAATGGAGACTCATACCTATCGCACCTGTGAACCAGAAATGACCGTCAGGCATTGCAGCTATCTGTGTGGAAATGCTAACATAGGCAGCCCCCTGAAATGGGCCCCTGCTCCCACTCTGTCATGGATCTGCCTGCCACACACCTGGAAGTGGAGGAGATGGAGGGCCAGAGAGCAAACCTTGCAAGGATAAGGGGTGGGGGCTTGAGATGAGCTGCCTGGGTGGGCGGTCCTTTCCAGGAACTGGTCCTTTCCACAGTTATTTGGGGCCTCCATCCAAAGTTCCAAACGATGAGGGAATTCACGGGTGGAGTCTGCCAAAACTACTGCCACAAACTGAACTTCAAGGGTCCCTTGGCCATAGTCACCAACATCAGAGATGATGAGGGATTGATTTCCTTGCTCCCTGAGGAGGCTGTAGACCTCAGCCTCAGCTGAGCTGGTTAATAACCTCAGCTGAAAAAGCTGCGAGGGCTATACCACAGCCCCCCAGGGGCACCTGAGCACTGTACCTTGGTGGACCTGCCTCCATCACCGCGGTATCTGCTGCCTTCCAGGATGAACTCAATGCAGAAGCAGGACCTCAGGAGGCCCAAGATCCATGGGGCAGCCCGGGCAGGTCCCTACCAGCCGCCCACTCTGGCCTCACTGCAGCGGCTGTTGTGGGCCAACCGGACTTCCACACTGACCCACTTCAACGAGGTCTGGCCCAACCTTTACCTGGGAGATGCGTAAGTAAGGCCCATGGGGGTGTGGGGGTGGTGAGATGGCAAACCTCTTCACCTCCCACCATCCCTTACCACATGTTTCTTTCCTTTCTTACTTTCAATTGTGCATTTAAAAGAATTCATAGGGCATAAATGCACAGTTTCACCACAGAAGTCAAGAAATAGGGCATTATTTGTGCCTTTGAAACCCCTGCTGAACTCTTCTCACCAAAACCCTCTCCCTTTCCCATAGGTAATGATCATATCCTTTTTTTTTTTTTTTTTTCTGTGCAGCTTCCCAGAACACATGCACTAGAACCTCTGTAGGACATACACAGAGTTCAATTGAATTATTTTCTATAAAAGCTAAGAGTATAACAAGTTATTCTCTTATATACATATGTTGTTGTTGTTAGGTACCATCGAGTCGGTACTGACTCATAGCAACCCTATGCACAGCAGAATGAAAACACTGCCCAGTCCTGGGCCAACCTCACAATTGTTGCCACACTTGAGTCCACTGATGCTGCCACTTTGCCAATGCATCTCGCTGGGAGGTGTTCTGCTGACCTTAAGATTGGCAGCCTGGCTCACAACCACTACGCTACCAAAGCTTCTCCTTATATATATCTCCTTATATATACATATACCAATAACAAAATCCTTACAAACTTAAAAACTATGTACACATACAGATATGACTTCCTTTAGTGGTATTACTTTGGAAGAACATTACATATTTTGCTCCACAACAGCTACTCATAGCAATCCTGTCTAGGGTTTCTGAGGAATGGCTTGTGAGTTTGAACTGTTGACCTTGTGGTTCAAACCAACCTTAAGGTCCAGGGCTTATTATAACAACAACAGCCATACCAAAACTGTCACTGCCACCAATACTACATCTTAGTGCTTGCATTGTTGTTGTTGTTAGGTGCCATTGAGTCGATACCGACCCATAGCGACCTTATGCACAGCAGAACGAAAACACTGCCCAATCCTGGGCCAACCTCACTACTGTTGCCAAGCTTGAGTCCATCAATGCTGTCACTTAACCAATCCATCTTGTTGGGGGTCTTCTTCTTTTTCTCTGACCCTCCAGCTTACCAAACATGATATCCTTCTCCAGTGACTGGTCCCTCCTGACAGTATGTCCCAAGTATGAGAGACAAAGTTTGGCCATCTTGGCCTCCAAGGAGCACTCTGGCTGCACTTCTTCCAAAACAAATCTATTGGTTCTTTCGATAGCCCATGGCACTTTCAATATTCTCCGCCAACACCATAACTCGAATGCATCAATTCTTTTACAGTCTTCCTTATTCACTGCCCAGCTTTTGCATGCATATAAGGTTATTGAAAATACCATGACTCGGGTCAGGAGCACCTTAGTCCTCAAGCTTTTCAACACTTTGAAAAGTTCCTGTGCAGCAGATTTACCTAATACAATACGTCGTTTAATTTCTTGACTGCTGCTTCCATGAGTGTTGATAGTTGATTCAAGAAGAATGCAGTCCTTGACAACTTCAATCTTTTCTCAGTTGATAAAAATGCTGTTTATTGGTCCAGTGATGAGGATTTTTGTTTTCTTTACATTGCGATGTAATCCATACCAAAGGCTGTGCTCTTTGATCTTCATCAGTAAATGTTTTAAGTCCTGCATATTATTTCATAATTTAGAAATATATCCTACTATTATAGATGATGGAGTCCTGGTAGGATCAGCACAGACCTGAACTACAAGGTCAGCAGTTCAAACCCACCAGCTGCTCCTAGGAAACCCTTTATAGGGCCGCTATGAGACAGAACCAACTTAATGGCACTTGACAACAACAACATGGATGATAAACCTTTCTTGCTGAAAGCAAAGAGGACTTAAAATAGTTACTCATGAAGATCAAAGACCATAGCCTTCAGTATGGGTTGTTCCTCAATGTAAAGAAAACAACAATCCTCACTACTGGACCAATAAATAACTTCATGATAAATGGAGAAAAGACTGAAGTTGTCAAAGACTTCATATTGCTTGGATCCACTATCAACATTCATGGAAGCAGCAGTCAAGAAATCAAATGACATACTGCATTAGGCAAATCTGCTGCAGAAGTCCTTCATAGTGTTTGTTCAAGAGCAAAGATATCAGTTTGAGGACTAAGGTGCTCCTGACCCAAGCCATGGTATTTTCAATAGTCTCAGACCAAGAGTTATTCTTCTTTATAAATCCAGTAATGTAGTTATGTCTTAATTGTCATGTGAAGTTGGACAATGAATAAGGAAGACCATAAAAGAACTTATGTGTTTGATTTATGGTGTTGGAGAAGAATATTCAAAGTACCATGGACTGCCAGAAAAACAAAACTGTGTTGGAATAAGTACAGCCATAATGATCTTTAGAAGCCAAGACGGTGAGCCTTTGTTGCTCATACTTTAGAAGTATTGTCAGGAGGGAGAGCCCCTGGGGAAGGACATCATGCTTGGTAAAGTGGAGCGTCAGCAAAAAAGAGGAAGACCCCCCAATGAGATGGGCTGACACAGTAACAACAATACACACACACACACATGCATGCCTATGGTGGCACATTTTGGATTCTTTGCTTAATTAAGTTCCTCTAAGGAGAACAGCTGGGGCAAAATATATGTGCTTTTCATTTCTGGGAGTTTTTTGATACATGCAGCCAAGGTGTCCTCCAGATCAGTTACCCTGAGTTAAACAGAATTTTAACCCTCTAACTGGAAAAGCCCCTTCACCCCAGGTCAGTTTACCAGTTCTGATCTCTACTACGGAGCAGGTGACAGGAGAGAGACAGGAGGTAAGTTCCAAGTCAGCCAGAGCCAGAACTGGCCCAACAAACCTACAAGGTCAGAGGTTCAAACCTACCAGCCTCTCCTTGGAAACCCTATACAGGGTCACTATGAGTCAGAACCAACTCAACAACACTTAACAACAATGCCTCTTGTGCCCTCCCCTCCAGGTATGCAGCACGGGACAAGAGTAAACTGATCCAGCTGGGGATCACCCACATCGTGAATGCTGCTGCGGGCAAGTTTCAAGTGGACACAGGTGCCAAGTTCTATCGTGGGATGTCCTTGGAGTACTATGGCATTGAGGCTGATGACAACCCTTTATTTGACCTCAGTGTCTACTTTTTGCCTGTTGCTCAATACATCCGAACAGCCCTCAGTATTCCCCAAGGTGAGCTCCTGGGGAAGGCACGGAGGTGGGAAGGCCTGGGGAAACTCTGGGTTACTATCTTCCCAGTGGCAATGGGAAGATAGTACCCTTTCAGCTACCCTTCCACCCCACGGGAAAAATTACTGTTGCTGCTAAGTGCTGTTGACTTGGTTCTGACCCATAGCAACCCTGTATAGGGTTTCCAAGGAGCAGCTGGTGAGTTTGAACTGCCGACCTTGCAGCTCAAACTGACCTTAAGGTCCAGTGCTTATCCTGTTGCTAACATTTAATGAGCATCCCCTTCAGTGAGTGCCTGGGAACTCACAATCACAGACCTAACAAAGGCCAGTGTATCCATCAGGGTAACCATCAAAGGCCATAAGATTGAGCAAAAAGCTCTTGAGCATGCTTCTCTAAAAAGAGGCTTTGACACAGGGCTGCAGAGGGCAGAAGAGAGAGGGGAGAGGGAGAGGTAGGTAGGTGAAAATGCCCTGTCTTCTGAAACAAACCCAGTACAGCCCAGAGTTGCAAAGGATGCAGAGCGACCAGGAGAAGAGAATCCCAGCTGCTAACCTTAGACCTGTCATTACCTTGCTGTGTGATCTTGAGCCAGACCTCTGTTACTTCAGGATGTGCCAATGGGTGGGTGGACCAGAGGATGATCTGAGGTGTCTGATTCCCAAGGGATGAGTGGGGGTGACGGAGGTCACTGATTGCCAGGTTGGGTTTCTCCACAGGCCGAGTGCTGGTCCATTGCGCCATGGGGGTGAGCCGCTCTGCCACGCTTGTCCTGGCCTTCCTCATGATCTACGAGGACATGACACTGGTAGAGGCCATCAAGGTGGTGCAGGCTCACCGCGATATCTGCCCCAACTCAGGCTTCCTCCGACAGCTCCAGGTCCTGGACAACCGACTGGGGCGGGAGACAGGGCGGCTATGACCTGCCAGGGAGCCAGGAGCCCTGACCCTTCAGCCAGCATGGCTCCATCCAACCAGCCTGGCCCTAGGGACCGCAGCCTCTGTTATCTCCGGTGATCCTAGTGAGGGTTTCCGGGAGGCAGAGGCAGGGATTACTCCATGGTGACTTTTATCCGGTGGATTTCCCTGACCCAGTCCAGAGATTCTTTATGCAAAAAAGAGTTCAGTCTGTCTCTATAATAAAGGATTCATCAAAACAAACATGCGAGATCTCGTGGTGGTTTGTGGGATATTGGCTTTCTCCCAGGATGACTTGCCCACTCTGATTCAGCGTGACTGTTGTTGCTAAATGCTATGGAGGTGGTTGTAACTCAGAGTGACCCTGTACAGGGTTTCCAAGGAGTGACTGGTTATTGGGATTGAATCACCAGCCTTGAGGTAAGATGTCCAGTGCTTATTCTACAGCACCACACTAGGACTCCAATTCAGCATGATGATCACCTAGGAAAGGAGTCTCAGTCTGCGTCAGGGCACAGCAAGGGAGGAAGGCAGGTGGAGACCAACTAGCGGGATCTACCTTAAATACAAGAGAGAGGCGTGGTGGCAGAAATGTTGAGAATTCATTGACCTCATTCCGTACTCTTAATGCCCTTACCCAAGAGTTTCCCAAAAAAGATCCAAGTTCAACGCTCCACCATCCTTCCAGTGCCCACCCTGTCAGAATTCTCTGTGCACAAATAGCAGCTCTTGGATACAGTTCATCTTTACATTCGACTTCCAAAATAAAATCACAGACACCTAAAATACAGGGGTATTAGCCCACAGTGTCACACCAGGACTCCTGGACAAGCTATAAAGTCCAGCCAAATCTCTCATCATATAATAGTAACTAGCTCACTTAAGAAATGATAAACCACTCTCTTAACTCATGTACTGTTGTTGGTAAATGCTGTCAAGTTGGTTCCGACTCATAGCGACCCTGTACAGCGTTGCCAAGCAGCAGCTTGAAGGTTTGAACTGCCAACCTTGTGATTCAAACTGACCCTGTGGTCAAGTGTTTATCTTACAGCGCCACACCAGAACTCCACCTCATGTACTATGCACATGCTCTTCCCTCGGGTCAGAATGCTTCCCCCCGCCCTTAGCTCCTTGTCACTTCTAGTTCTAGCTGTTCTCAGTTTAGATGTCACTTCTTCCGGGAAATCTCCCTAGATTGCCCTGAGTCTGAGAGAATTGCTCCTCCTGTGGGCTACCCAACACCCACCCATCCTGCCCTTGTAACGTCACCTACCACTCTGATACCTCCTCATTCAGGTCCAGTTGACTGTCTCAGGTCTTCCTGTGAGCTCAGAGTCACCAGGACTTGAATCCCTTCTGGCTATGACACTGCCTTCAGGTGCAGGACCACGGACCAGCAGCCACAGGTTGGCACCACTGTCATTTGGCTCTCACCACAGAGGCCTCAAGGGGGAGTGGATCCCAGATGAGACCACCTTCTGAGGGACCCTCCTTCTTCCTAGCTCTTTAGTTGTCCCACCTCCACCAAGTCTTCCCATTTGGCACATCCTGACACCCTCTTCCCAACACAGCCCTCGTGGGCCACCTTGAACCCACTGGTAGGCAGCTTGGCTCCTTGGAGCCTTTGTCCTTCTTGGCCATCTGGTCGATCTCCAGAGACCACGTGCTTTCCCCCTCATTTCCTGTACCTACAGGAAGTGGTAGGTCAGCCTTCTGCTGAGGGGTCCCAGGAAACTGCAGAACTTGGGATACATGTTTGAGGACCTGGTCTTCAAAGCTGAAATCTTGGAGATCACACACCCCATGTCCCCACAGACTACCCCTGGCCTTACAGTCTCTGATTCTCAAGATCTGTCACCTGGTGGGCCTCTGGGGTACAATTCACCCCCGATCTCTCCAAGTCTTTCCTCACCCCCAACTGGCACAATTTCATGGTTTAAAAAACAAAAACAACACACTAAAAAGTACAGCAATTTCTAGAATATAGGTCTTTGAGGGTCTTACAGCCAACTGCCCTGGTAAGCCTTAGGACCAGGCCCGTTAGCTAAGACAACAGCAACAATGAACTCCCCAGTCATGGAAAGCTTTAGATCTAACCCCTAATAGTCCCAGAAGTAGGGCTGCACCTTTGTGCAAATTAGAAAAAGGGGAACCAGTCATGAAGAATCAACCCTGGACAACCAGTTTGGTGAAGGAAAAGGTTCCTTCCTCCTAAGCAGACGTAGCCCTAATTAGGGTGCCAATTTGGCCAACTGAACATCTCCTGCAATTCACAAACTGCACAAATGCATGCTGTCTTGCCTGGGAAGTCAGGATTAAAACCCCATTTTACAGATGAACAAACTGAGACTCAGAGAAGATGAAGTGGGGCTAAAATGGCATCTCTGGACCTTTTCCAGAGAGTGTGTGTCCCAATAGGAGGATGGCAGAAGGGTTGGTGCTATTGTTCCTAGAAGCTTGGTCACAGGATCTAGCCCCAACCAGGCAGGGTCCCTCTCCATTCTGTGGATGGAAAACTGTTCCTAATTCGTCCAGAGAAGACAAAGCCATTCCCAGCTCAGAAGTCCAACTGGCCCATGCCAAATCCCTTGAAATCTCCCTTTACTTGGTAACAACAGTTCTACCCTTGTTGCTAATTCCTGCTCTGCACTGTCAGCAGGACCCAAAATAGTGGCTCCAAAAGTCAGTCTCTAAATCATCCCCTTGGTCCATGAATGTGCGGCAGCCTGCCCTGCCAGTGGGTGGGTCTTCTGAGGCTGTGATGGAGCCACACCCTGGGTCTGGGCCTTGGATTTCAACAGATCACTTAGGAGGTCAGGCTCAGAGTCTGGGACTACGGGCAGATAAGAGCAGAGAAGCCCTGAGGAAGTAGATGATGAGAGAGCCAAGAAAACGGGTTGGTCTCCAAGCTGGCACCTCTACCAGGAGGCCTTCCTGCCTGCGGCACCTGCTCCAGAATGTCTGTGATGTCAGATCCTCGCTCCCTCTTCTTTAGAAAAGTTACAAGAGAGGAGAAGGGCATTGTTAAGAGAATGCCTTTGAAGCCAGGCTACCTGGACTCAAATCCTACTTCTGACTCACACCAGATGTGTGGCCTCAGTTAATCTCTCCAAACCTCAGTTTCCCATCTATAGCATAGGGATAATAATATCCAACATTCAGGATGGTTGTAAGGACTCAGTGGTATAGACAGAAACTGCTCAGCATAGTGTGTGGTAAACTCTCAAAAAATGACCTCTGATTATTAGAGCCTGAAGCACCGAGGCTCTGGGAATCACTCACTACATAGAGCCTTGGGTCTTAGGTGAAAAGTTGGCAGTGCTTTTGTGTGCTGAATGAATGAATGAATGAAACTTGGCATCCTGGATTGCATTCTGGAGCAGAAAAGGGACATACATAGGGAAATGGGAAATCTGAACAAAGTCTGTGGTTTATATACAGGCATTCCTTGTTCTGTTGTATTGCACTCTGCTTTAGTGTACGTGGCAGATACTGTGTTGTTTTCTTTTCTTTCTTCTTTACAAATTTAGCAATCCTGCATTGAGCAAGTCTATAGGTGCTGTTTTTCCAATAGCATGTGCTAACTTTATGTCTCTGTGTTACATTTTGGTAATTCGCACAATATTTCAAACTGTTTCATAATGCATTGCAAACTTAATAGACTACAGCATAGTGTAAATATAACTTTTATGTGTACTGAGAAACAACAACAAAAAGTGTGACTCACTTTATTGCAATATTCACTTTATCGAGGTAGCCTGCAACCTAATCCAGAACTTGTCTGAGATTCGTCTGTACCAAAGTTAATTCCTTTGTTTAACAATTGTACCAAGGTTATAATAACAAGTTAACATTAGGGGAACTGAGTAAAGGGTATACAAGGAATGTATCTATTATCTTTATAACTCTTCTGTAAATCTAATATTATTTCCAAATTTAAAAGTTATTAAATACTAGCTGATAAAAGCTGACTGTTAAGCAGATGTCAGATACTAACCTAAGTGCATTAGGCCCACATCTACAGAGGAATATACAGGATAATTCAGGCCAGAAATGGGCTATGTCTGTTCAAGCTACACTTGGAATGGTACATTATGATTAGATCCATGGAGAATACTGGTAGCAAAGATCTTGAGGTGGACAGCATGAAAGGATGCCAGAAAGGACATCCCCTCCCTCCCATGACTCTGTCTTGAGCTATAGCCACATTACCTCTGAGGCCAACAGACTCCCACTGAGAGGCCCAAGACTTCCTGCCCACCATGAAGACCCCCGTGGGCCTGCTCTCTGTAGTTCCTAGCTGAGAAGGGCAGCCACAATATGGACTCCACTGCCACTGGGTCTTTGGGGAAACTTGATTTGGAAAAAAACTGGTATATGCCAGTCAAGTGAAAAAATATAATTTGCACTTCCTAGCGGAAAGATGTTTACCTGTGCTTTATTGACTATGCAGGGGCTTTAGACTGTGTGGATCATGACAAGCTATGGACAACACTGCAAAGTATGAGTATTCTGGAACACTTCATTGTGCTCATGAGGAACCTGTACATAGACCAAGAGACAGCTGTTCGAACAGCACAAGGGAACACCGAATAGTTTAAAATTAGAAAAGGTGTGCTCCAGGGTTGTATTCTTTCACCATACTTAGCACAGCCTTCGGTATGGATTATATCTCAATGTAAAGAAAACAAAAATCCTCACCACTGGACCAATAAACAACATTCTTACCAAAGGAGAAAAGATTGAAGTTGTCAAAGACTTCATTTTGCTTGGATCAGCCATCAACACTCATGGAAGCAACAGTCAAGAAATCAAACGATGTATTGCATTAGGCAAATCAACCGCACATGACCTTTTTAAAGTGTTGAAGAGCAAAGATGTCAGCTTGAGCATTTTTCTTGCAACTGGTATCTCTGGGTCCCTGTTTTTGGTCTTGTAGGTTTGTTTGACTTTGAACATTTCAATATCTGGGTTGGGTTCTGGGTGATATAGTCATGTATGTTA